TGCACAATGTGACTGACATTCAGTGTCTCCACCCTCAGCATGAACTTTCCTCGTAGAGATTCATTGATTCAATTCATTTCTGTGAGGATATGCGGATTGGCCAGGGCTGTGTTTGGCTTGTGCTGGCTCTGCCCCTGATCTGCCTTCTTGACAAGCTCAGCCAATCCAATGCTTTCCAATGGGAAAGTATTGTGATTGGCTTTGAATAACACTTCGGACGATGTCAGCCAAGCAGGCAGATCAGGGGAAGAGCCAGCAGCAGCAGACTGAAATAAAAGTAAGAGTATGCTTTATTTGGGGGGCAGGGTGGCTAGATAGTGTTTTTAACACTATAGGGTCAGGAATAAATGTTTGTCTTCCTGACCATATAAAGTTCCTTTACAGAGCTGGGCACATGCTATAAACCCCCATAATTTTGTTATACAAATGCCTTTACCATGAGAAGCTATATACTGTTGTGTATATTAATTCCTCCCTTTCCTTCTAAATCTATCCAACATTTGTATACAGTGTGCTCATGTTTGACACTACGTCTACAGAAGTTGGATTGCATGAATGTATGACCAGCACCTGTGGAGAATTCAGTGCAACTCGCCTACAAACTGTAACTGGTACTGTCAATAAACGCAGGCTGTGGAGGGGAATGTCTTCTATTGGCATATTCAGCAGTTTAACTCATCCATTTAATGAAGGGAACCACTGCCAGCCGCTGAACTACATATCCCATAAATTCCACATGGACGGGGGTTTATGGGATAACATCAGATCTCATAGACCAGAGTGAGAGACTGTTGATTGCTGATCACTCTTCCTTGTCTGAAAGGAGGCTGTCTGCTGCTGCAGTTTGCCCGTCTCAAGCTTCACAGTCTTTACTTTAAAACAGAGGTGCCCAAAAGGTAGATCCCCAGATGTTGTAGAACTACAACTTCCATGATGCTTTGCATCCCTTTAGCATGACAATGCATCGTATAAGCTGTAGTTCTACAACATCTGGGGATCTACCTTTTGGAAGACTCCAAGCACAATGCATCTGTGGAAAAAACACACAAGAAGCTATTCAAGAACGTTTATAAAAATCCCCTTTTAGTATCGGTTAACTAATGCAAGTAACCTCATTTCTGTTTACTATGAATGAAGCCCAGTTGCGGCCAGCAAGTGCTGCACACGCTCAGCCTCTACATGTCTCTTATCTGGTGCATTTTAAAAATAAAAAACATAATGATTGCATACAGTCACACATAAAATTCAGTATTTTAGGCCACTATAGTGTACCTAAAATAATAATTGTATGTCTAATAATAATAGTTGCATTCCTTTACTCTTCCTTGTTTTTCCTGTAGGTGAAATGTAAGTTAACTGGCCATGAATTGCCATGCAGACTTGCTGAACTCAAAGTCTTCACAGAAGGGAAAAAATACAAGAAGCTGAACTCTTCTGGCTCCTATGATTACAGTGTCTTCCAACCACATATAGTCGTCAGCACTAAAAATCCGTAGGTATCTGTGAGGCAACATAGAACTTCCTGATCTATAACGCTTTCATGCAAAAATTCCGATATGTTTCCGATTTCAACAGAGCCCTAATTATCATATTTACTTGTGATTGCACAAAATAAGAATCACCTATATGACAACAATTTTTAAATTGTATTTCTTTTTTGGAAATAGGGAATGGGAGGTTAGCTTGTAGTTTGTAAAATTGTTTTTTGTACCTAGTATAAACAATAATTTCAGCAGCAAATATGACCTTTATTTCTCAGCGAGATTCTACAGGTGAAAGGAGGCTACATATTTATGGTCCACTAGAGCTTTTGCTTAATTGTCTCTTCAAAATGTTAATTGCACAAACCCTATATAAAGTGCCCTTTTATTTGTATTTAACATGTAAAAGCAATCCCGAACAAGTTCAGTTCCCACAAAGACCTATATCAGTGGTTCCCAAACCAGTCACCACTCCCCTTACCTGTCCAGGATTTGTGTCTAAGGTGTTTTTAAAAGAAGAAAAAAACACATTGGGCACAACTGGGTAGGTGGGCACGAGCACTGGTTTGGGAACCACTAATGTAGAATGTCTGGGATATGTATTTTTTTAATTTTGTTTTTTATTCTTATTTAATTTCTTTATAATGCCTGGAGTCCCCTGGCACTGTCCCTCTGTTCAGTGTTAAACAATTCGCAAACAAATCAACACTGAATGAGGGTCACTAGCCACAACAGCCCAGCCCTAACTGGAGGTATTGCTAAGGCAGAGATTCAAACTTCCTTGGAGCTGTACCAATTCATACCATCAGTGGACAATGTGGTAGGCTGAAGGCGACTGTCTGATCCAGACACAGTTGCCCATTGATGCTCAGGTTAATGCTTCATTTTTAGACCATGCAGCACACAGGGACTCTCGTTAAGAATTAAAACATTAAAAAACACTTTGCACTGAATGGAAGGGACTCGAGACACTATAATCACTTCAGTAAGATTAATACGTTACAATGCCCCTTTAACCCCTTCCCGACCACGTCCGAAAAAAAAGGTTAACGACTGTGGATGTACCTGGTACGTCCGATCGCAAATATGCACTTACCTGATCGCTGGCGATCACGATGTGGATACTTGCCTGGTATCCCAGGCAGTCCCCCTGCGGCTGATCCGGGCCATGTGATCGCAGAGTCCTCGCGATCACATGGCTGGAATAACCGACTTGTGCAGTGCCTGCAGGGGGAGTGCCTGAGCTCTCAAGCTGTCCCCCAAGTAAATAAAAGTACTTAGATCATATATATTTATGATCTAAGTACTTTTATATGTACATACACAATCCATTATTCTAAGTGTATATAATATTAATAAATATATACTAATATTTATATACACTTAGAATGACTTTAACTATATAAATTTGTTCTAACTGCATTTTGATATTAATATACATATATATTTAAATCAAAATACATTTAGAATGACGTTATAAATATATATATATATATATATATATATATATATATATATATATATATATATATTACAAATAAACAGTTTTATGGTTCTACAAATATAATAAGGTCATTTTATTAATTACAATTTTGAGGGACCTGCCTGACAACCCAGGCATAAAGTCCAGAGAATTTGGTTCGCAAGCCCTATATTTAACCCTGTAACTTTCCAGGACACCATAAAACCTGTACATGGGGGGGTACTGTTTTACTCGGGAGACTCCGCTGAACACAAATATTAGGGTTTCAAAAAAGTAAAACCTATAACAGCGATGATATAGTCAGTGAAAGTGACGATTTTTGCATTTTGACTGACAATATACCGTATATACTCGAGTATAAGAAGAGTTTTTCGGCACATTTTATGTGCTGAAAACCCCCCACTCGTCTTATACTAGAGTCAGTGTCTGTATTATGGCAACTTACATTGCCATAATACAGACAAGGATCGCCGGGCTCATTACAAGCCCAGCGGTCCTGCTGGGGGCTGGCAGCAAGCTGTAACTTACCTTTCCTGCAGCTCCTGTCAGCTCCCACTGTAAGTTTCGCGAGAGCTGCGGTGTCAGAGCACTGCCATGGGTTACCGTGTCCACCCTCCGCGCGGCACTCAGACCGCGAGACTTACAGTGGAGGATAAGGGATCTGACTGGAACGGAGGTGAAGGGAGCTGACAGGAGCTGCAGGAAAGGTAAGTAACAGCTCGCTGCCAGCCCCCCCTCCTACACAGCCCATGCCACTAGACCACCAGGGAATGAGAGCCCCCTCCCTGGCCATGTATCAAGCAGGGAGGTGGGACAAAAAAATATAAATACAAATTTAATAATATTAAAATAAAATAAAAATTGAAATTTGACAGATTGGTAATGTTGCCTTTAAGACAGTATGGTAGCCCAGGAATGAGAATTACCCCCATGATGGCATAGCATTTGCAAAAGTAGACAGACCAAGGTATTGCAAATGGGGTATGTCCAGTATTTTTTTAGTAGCCACTTAGTCTCAAACATTGGCCACAATTAGCATTCACATTTTTTTTTCATTTTTCACACACAAACAAATGTGAATGCTAACTTTGGCCATTGTATGTGACTAAGTGGCTACTAAAAAAGACTGGACATACCCCATATTGAATACCTGGGTTGTCTACTTTAAAAAAAATATGTACATGTAAGGTGTGATTCAGAGATTTATGACAGATAACAGTGTTACAATGGAACCAGGGGCGGGCTGGGCCAGGGGGCAGGGAGGCAATTGCCCCCCAGGCCGCCCTAAATTCCTGTAAGGCCGGCCGCGGCGGGCCGGCCCTTTAAATACTGCAGCCGCCCGAGCGCTCTGTTAAGAGCCTCAGGCGGCTGCAGCTTCTCCCCTGTAGCGTGGCCGAGCGAGCTGCACTCCGGTCCGCGGTGGCCGGCCGGCCGGAGTGATAGGAAGGTGCACACTGAGTGTGCACCTTCCTGTCAGTCCGACCGGGTACAGGAAACAGAAACTCCGCGCGGAACAGGAGTTTCTGTTTCCTGTCACCGGCCGGACTGACAGGAAGTGCACACTCAGTGTGCACCTTCCTATCACTCCAGCCGGCCGGCCACCGCGGACCGGAGTGCAGCTCGGCCACGCTACAGGGGAGGGGGTAAGAAGAGAGGGAGGAGGGGGGGGTAAGAAGAGGGGAGGGGAA